ATAGATAGATAGATAGATAGATAGATAGATAGATAGATAGATAGATAAGAGTGAACTTATTTCCACTTTAAATTTGTCAGGTAGATCAAACGTTTCTCCTCAGACTGCATCAGATTAATCTATTGATCATAAAAAATAAATCAATAATAACAATAACATTATTACAACAAAAACAACAATCCAAACTGTTCCTAAAGTAAATGTTGGGAGTTTGATATGATGATGGACTGGTTCGGCTCGGCACAGACCGGCCCAGTCGGTTTCAGAACGATACTTTAAGTCCATTGCGTTTTGCTTTTGTTAGTTTGTTTTTTTAACCTTCAAATCAAAGAATAGTTCAACAATTAAAAAGCTTCAACCGTCCACTCCAAGTAAACAATTAACTTCCAAAAAGCAAGAAAAATAAATAAATGAATGAATTAAAATGTTTTGCAGTCACATAAAAAGGAGAGTGAAAAGAAATAATAATTATTTATTGTGAACAAACTCCAGTGTTTGGTTCATGATTGATAAAAATGAAGAAAATATGAAGCAAACAATAAAACAAACAGATAATTAAACTATTTGTTTTGAGCTTTTATTATAAAACAACAATTAGTTCCTGAAAAATTATTTTCATGCTGTTACCTTTTCCAAACAACCCGACGTGTTGCCGGGAACTAAACATCTTGAAACCTGAAGAAGGAGAACAGCCAGATGTTCCCTCAGCAGCGCGTGCACGACACTGAGGAGCTCACCTCCACTTGGTGCGTCTGTTCTGGAACCAGGTCTTGACCTGCGCGTCCGTCATCTTCAGGGCCTTGGCCAGGGTCGCGCGCTCCGCGGAGGCCAAGTACTTCTGCCGGTGGAAGCGTTTCTCCAGCTCACAGATCTGCAGGCGCGTGAACGACGTGCGAGGCTTCTTCTTCTTGGGAGGAGTTCGGTTCTGGTACGGGTGACCTACACGACGCGTCACAGTCAGGGGTGAGAGGGACACTGGACAAGGTGGGACACACAGGAGAGGACACACAGGAGAGGACACACAGGAGAGGACACACAGGAGAGACACACAGGAGACGACACACAGGAGACGACA